TCCACGCAGACATGGCCAGCGGGGGCCTACAGCTCCTGGGCTTCGTGCTGGCCTTCCTGGGCTGGATCGGCATCATCATCAGCACCGCCATGCCTCAGTGGAAGATGGCATCCTACGCAGGGGACAACATCGTCACGGCCCAGGCGCTCTACGAGGGGCTGTGGATGTCGTGCGCCATGCAGAGCACGGGGCAGATCCAGTGCAAGGTGTACGACTCGCTGCTCAAGCTGGAAAGTAAGTCGGGGTGGGGGATGCGGGTGTTGGGGTGTCCGTCCCGTCGGGGTCATCCCCTCCGCCCCAACTCCTCTTCGGTCGGGGCTGAGGGTGTCGGTCTCTAGGGTTATTACCCCTGCGCCGGTGCTGGTCGTGTCGGGCTGAAGTGCTGGGACTGGGGGTGCCAGTCCTGCCTCTCCCGCCTCGCCCAGTGCCTGTCCCGCTGGAGCTGCTGGTGCCATCGGGTTTCAAGGTCTCTGTCCCTTCGGGGTTGAAGGTGTAGCGCTCGAGGTCCCCCACCGTCCCGTCGGGGCTCAGATGTGTGTCTCTTGGCGTTTCCCCGTGGCTCTCCTCGCCGGGGCTGAGGGTGGCCCCCCCACCCTGTGACTATCCTTCGGGGCAAGCTGGGGCTCTGCGGCGCCTGCTGAAGCGCATCCCGCGGCGGTGCCGCCTCCCCGGGCGGCGAGGCAGTACCTGGGGGACGGAGCCGTCGCCGTCCCGCAGCCCCCTGCTCTCACGCCCGCTACTCGTCCCCCAAAAAGACGTCCGGGAGGAAAAGGGTCAGATCCTCCACGTGTGTTCGGGAAAGCGTCGTGATTGTGAACGAGAGCTTTTTGGCAGTAGAAGTTTGGGCAGGGACTGCTTTCGCCGGGCACGGCTCAGCAAGAAGCGAAGTTCGTCAGCGGTGCTGAAGCGGTCTTTTGAAGCACGGATCCTTTTTGCGTTGGACTGTTTTGGTATTTTGTTCCCATGGAAAGTCGCCGCTTAAAAGCCCCAAGGGAGTAGCAAAGGGCTGGCAGGTGAGCTGGACTCTAGCCCAGGTAGCACTGCCTGTAGCTTTTAGGCAGACCAGTAAGTACATCAAGGTAATCTCTAGGTCTCTTAGCTTCGCTGTCCCAGGACGAGATACCTCATGCGTGCAGGAACTGCAGCCTGGCTTACTGGGGAGTCACTCGGGGCGGTTATGCCGAGATGGAGACCCAGTGAGGGCTGTTTCTAGAGCGCTGAAGCATATAACTTGTACTGACACCCAAAGGGGTTAAAAAAATCATCCCTTTTCAATATCACTCACTTCATCCCGAGTCCATTAGTGTCCTGGAACACCTTCATCCCTCTCTCTCCCTAATTAATAAAATAATAATTAACACCTTGGTCACCTTCTCTTTCCCAAAGGAATGAGCTGGCAATTTCACATAAACCGAGGGACCATCGGGAGTATCCCAGATTGCCACCAACCCTTCCTGTGTGTCACGCGGTGAAGCAGGACACCCTGGGCCCCACCTGCATTGTTAGCCCCATCAATTGCTCCTGCTCCCTGGCCCCGAACACCCGTGGGTCCTGCAGCTGTAGAGGCGCAAATTACTCTTCTCAGGAGTGCTGTGCACCCACTTAGCACTAACAGGGTGCTGTGGATAATCGGGGCTGGGCTAAGCACACGGTCTGGGGTCGTTCGAGTAGTAATTATGTATAAGCTCAGCTTCAAGCCTCTTATCTCGCACGGGGGGTGGGGGGGGTGAAGATGCCAGCAGTGCTGAGGAATCTCTAGCCACCCCTTGGGTGGGTTGCGAAAGGTAAACTTGCCTCGGGGGTTGTGTGGCTGCAGCCCATTGTGCTGTAAATGAGACCTGCCTGCAGAATCTGATGCTGAGACTGGCATGAACAGACTCCTAAAAACCTGCCCCAGGACCTCCAGACCTGTCCCATTCATGGCTGAGGGCTGAAATCCAGCTGTTCCCCTCACCTTTGTCCTGCAAATAAGGGCTTTTCTCTTCCAGGCTACGGGGGAGGGAGGTGTGAGGTGCCAGGGACCGAGGCTGAGCTATTAGTGGTCTTTTGTGCTCTTACGGAGCCCCTGACCCTGCAGGGCACGCTGGCCTGAAAATTCCCAGGAAGTCCAAGAACTATGGAAGTCATAGGGGATGTTTTCCTCGTTGGGGAAGTCAGTGAGGGCTGGCTAAAGGACTCTTTGGTTTTGGTTGTTTGTTTTTTTTTTTTTCTTTCGTACCCTAGCTAGCTTAGGTTGTGCTTTTCCCGCTTGAAAGCAGGTCATGCCTAGGGACACACACCTTACTCGTTTTCTCTGCCTGGTCACCCTTGAAGGTCTTACAGCCACATAGGCTTGAGCAGGGACCAGCTGTACTGTTTCGGGTGGAGGTGTGGGAAAAAACCCACATTTATATCCCATTCAACAGCCGCACCCCGAGCCAGGTGCAGCTGTGCGGTAAGAGCTCCCTTACTACATTCATTTATGTCATGGTGATGGTGGCACAGCTATGTGGGCAGAAAAACTGCCTGGCCATGCTTTCATGCCAGATCTTCACATGCCCTGAATGCTCTGAGCCACACGTCAGAGCCTCATGCGCTGATGGGAGAGGCTCAGATCTGTAATTACTTTGTCCCCATAGAAAGGACTGAGCCTCCTTGCACCTGTAGTAATTCACGGTTGTGGCAATGCTGGAAAGCTTTGCCAGCAAGCTTTTGCATATCTGGTAGCTATTGCCGTTCCCCTAGATGTGTGTTTGGCTGCTTGGACCGATGCTGCGTGTCAGAGATGGGGTTGGCACAAGCTGATGAGCACCGTTAGCCAACTGAGGGGCTTCCAGCTTCCCGTGTGGCCGTGCTGCTGGAGTGCACCCATGCTGGCACTTCTCCCGCAGCTGTGTTCAGCTGAGGGCTTATGTCAGTGCTCCTATTCAGGCGATAGAAAGGCTGCGTTTTGCTGGCTTACGTGAAAAGCAGTGCGTGGCCACATGCAGACATAGAGGCAACAAAAGCCACCCTTGCAACAAGGCTTTGTTGCACAGCCTCAGCATTGTTCTTGTAGCCCTCCAGCATCGTCCATGGAGCTTAGCTGAGCTTTGTGCTCCTCCGGGGTCTCAGGGGGATGGTCTCAGACAGGAGGGAGAAGGGCTCCCGGTACCTGTCTCTAGAAGCTTTCAGCCCCACCTAATGACACTCTCCTGTTATGAGCAGAGGTTGTCCTGGGTCCTGTCTAGGCTGTTTTAGCTGAAGATACTCATCACCCTGTTTGGTTTTGCTGGGAGAGGTTCTGTGCTTGAGACAAGCTGAGACTCATCTACCACTTCAACAAACCTAGTACATCCACAATGAGCCTTTGTGCCCTAGCCCAGAAAATAAACAAGGGTTTGGATGCCCTCTGGGTCAAACAGCATCACTGAAATGTGAAATCTTGCCTCCTACATCTTTACCACCCTAGCTGAGCCTGTTCTAGGAGCTGGGGAAGAGAATGGGTGAGGGGAAGGAAGGGTTCATGCTCAGGTTACAGATGGCGGGGGAGTTGGGAGGGTGGCCCAGGGAGGGACAAAGCTATAGCATGAGGGATGAATGTGTCCCAATAGTTTGTCACCCCTCCATCTTTAGATCTGGAGTAAGCAGGTAGAACCTGTTGGTATCTGTGCTTTCATGTGGGTTAAGGGTTAATTTGCTCCCTTGTTTCTCAATCCCTGTTCCTTCCTCATGAAAAATCATGATCGAGTGATAAAACAGTCTCACTTGTGCCACTCGTTGAGAAGGTAGAGGAGGGTTACTTGGAATGCCACTGAGGCTGTTCCTGTGTGGTGCTGTGTTGTGTCTGCAAGAGGGGATGGAAATCTGTTGCAATACACTTGCTTTATTGCTCTACAAGCAGTTTCTAAGCAGCTTTAGTAGCTAGTGTTACTATGTGTTACTAAATCTCTTGGTAAGGGAATTTCCAGGCTTTGTGGGAAAATAGGCTGCCCACGTCTTCTCTGACCAGGAATCTGGAAATGGTGGTAGTCTGTGGATTGTCTTACCAGCAAGCTTTCTCTGCTGTTTGAATGACTGCAGGAGGGCGTTGAACCTTATTTGCTTTAGGGTAGGCAGAGTACAAGGCCACTGCCACCTACTGAACTTGCCTCTTTTGCACTAGATGTGCAGTGAGGACTTCCCAGTCTTCCCATTTTGGCAAGAAACATGACCCTGCCTGAGTCTGCATCCTGCCCAGATTCCTCTGTACAGTCTTATAGGCTTATGGGGAGGTGCTTTGAAGGAGTCCAGACTGGAATATCTGATCTGTGATGGGTGTGCGTAGTGGTTGCAGGAGCTGGTAAGGGGGTTGAAAACCTCCAAGCCGTTAGCGGGCTTTTGGGTTCAGCCAGAATGACTGCAAAATGTGGGAGATGTTTGCTGGCTACCTCTATTATTGCTTGCTCAGATCTTCATTCCCTTGCCTGCTGCACGAAAGTAACTTTCACATGCCAGCAGGGCTGAACAGCAGGATCTCAGATCCCACTCCTTCCAGGAGATTCAGTTTTCATGAAACCCCAGTGGGAAGGCTTTGAAGGCTGCTGACTTCTCTTGGAGGTGGACAGTGTAACATGCTTCCTACACTACAGGGGTGCTGGTAACTCCTGGGGAGCTTCCCTTGCGGAGATTAGAGGGAGCTGCATGGCATCTGTTTCACCTGTATTCTGTCATCACTTGGTTGCATGGAGGCCCATGGGAAGGGAAGGAAAAGTCCATAGTTCAAATACAAACAAGGCAGTCAGTGAGCATCCCTTATCGGAAAATAATCTGCACAGAGAGCTAGTACAGCAATTTTGCATTACAAACAAGCATTACAAAAATCCCATGGCACTTTCCAGGCATGTTGGTTTTCTATAATGTAGATGGCATAAACAGAATAAATAAGGAAATGTGATGACAGAAAAATAACCTCAAACATATGCTGTTGAAATATTTTTTTAATAATGAAGCAGTTGCCAGCAATTACTTATGTGTCAGGTAATGATAGTTGTGGGAAGGAAAGTCTTATGTAGGCTTCAGATAAACTGCATCATGCAGTTTGTGTCCAAACCCACTAATAAGTCAGAACTGTTTGTTATCATGTTTTAAAAAGTGGGTTTCATTATGTAAAGCAGGTGTGAGCTGCTGTGTCATTTTTGTGGACTTGCACAGTATTTTAGGGCTTGCAGAACTCACATCTGTTATTAATCATCCTCAGTAGTTTTAAGCCTCTGTTCTTCAATACTTGCTGCTTTCCTGCTATAGGCTTTTCAGGCCAGGTCTCTCATTGCTAACCAGCAATAAAAAGGCTTGTCAATAGTGGCTTATATTGACAAAATACTGTTGCCATTTGACAGTTGTTGAGTGCTAGGTCAGTTGTCTCTCCTTGTGCAGGACTGTATTTTTTTTTTTGCCGAGGGCTCCTGAGACTGCCTGGGTTTCAACAGCTGTTGTGCATTGCATAGGAGGCTACAAGCCTTGTGCTACCTGTTCTTGTTGGTGAGACAGCTGCAGCAGCAAGGAGTGAGGGGGAAATTCTATTTCTCTCTAATTTGATAGAAGTTGTAAAGCTAAATTGCTGTGGAGTACTTGTTGTTGGTAGCTAGTCCTGATCAGCAGGTTAAGACAATATTATACTTGTATTGTTTGGGATTTTTAAAGCACCTGGAAAGGCCCGTGTGAACAACAGAACTATTATTAAACTAGCTTTCTCAGCCTCTGGATGTGCAGCTTCCATTGAGAACGCGGTTGTTAATGTGTACATAATAACTAATAGCTTGTATGATGATTAACTGCAGTCAATGTAGTGCACACATTGCAAAAGTAGTAGGAAGACAAATGCACTGTCTCCCAGCATCTGCTGTGAGCACAGGGCAGCCAGCCTGGGCAGAGGGGAAGATGGTTGGCTTATACAGTCATATCACACTGAAACTTCTTGGGGGGAAAAGAACAGTCTGTTCTGCAAATGCTCCAACCTGTTTTTGTCCTACCGCAAGCTTCCTAAATGCTTCTGTCCTCTTATGCCATGGAGCCATGTGTAAGGGAGGAGTGAGGACACAAGGACATGTCCCTTCAGGGTCTGCTGCTGAAAGCGGGCAGCTCTGGGAAACGCTCACAATGCTGCTTTTTGTTCAGCTGCTTCTGCAAAGCTGTCATGATGTGCATCCAGTTAATACTTGTACATCTTGAGATTTTAGCAGATTTCATAGCTAGGTCTTCTGAGGTCATAGCAACTTTTTCAAGCATCTTCCTGTGTTTGTCCCTTGGTAGTACCATGTTTAAAGGTGAGAGGTCTCTTCTCACCCTTATAACTAGTTTTCTAGTTGTTTGCGAGAACTTCCTATTTTCAGCTTCATGAAAACACTCTCAAACCCCTCTTCTATGAAGTAATTTATTCTGCAGCAAGACTAAGCCCAACTTACTGTAGACTTGATGGAACAATTTTGGTACCTCTGCAGAAAATGTCCTTTTCCATGCAAAGTATGAACTATTGTTCAGCCACTGGCTTCTCCAGAGTTGCTGCTATAATGCACAATTTAACCTTAAATGTATGGCAGCTGCATTGGTTGCCTGGATAGTAACCTGTCATCTGAAGTATTTCTGAAAATTTGCATTCACTTTTGTAAACTAGAAGTTATTTTTAGAGTGTAAACTCTGACATTGGAGATAAATCTATTAAATGTGTTTGGATACTGCTGTTGTGATTTATGCTAAAGTGATAAATGGGTTTGTAAATGGGCTTCTTCAATCAATGCAGCAGATGGGTTCTGATTAACATCTGGGTGGTCCAGAGGTGTATCACCTTTCCTCTTTTGAAGGAAATGAGAGATGACATTTGGCCAAGCCGATTGTGGGATTTTTTTTCCCAAGAAAGCCAAGACTCTTCTTATGAAAATGTGTCATTTCCTATTGCTCTGAATATTGCCTTTTTATTGTATTGTTTTTACCTGGTTTCATAATCTCTTTACAGAACAATGAGGTGGTGTGTGTAGAGGCAGATCCAGATCTGTTTTAAAGCTGAACTGGAGCCTATTGTTCATGGGGTCACGGGAGTTTTCCTGCACAAGAAGTGTCATTGGGCAAAGTGTAGTAAAGAAGCTGCAGGGGATAGGTGTGCAGCTGTGCTACCCCCAGCCAGTACCAGATTTGAACTCCTGTCCATGTTTTGGGCTGAGTCAAAGAGCCCATTGTTGTAGCACAGGCACTGATGGGTTCACCATACCAGTGCTGGGTGCTGACTGATGATTTTGCAGGTGCTCTGTTGTAGGCTTAAATCTTGCAGCTGCAGTTGTCCAAGTTTGAAGTGCTTTGCTCAGCTCTAGCAGAATGCAGTCAGTGTGCTTTCTGAGGGGTGAGCTCCAGACCTGGGAACAGATTCTGGTGATACTTTGCTAAAACTGTACATGTGTCAACTGCCAGATAACCTTCTGTGTCAGGTGACACTTTTGCCTTGGTTACAGCACGCTCCTGGGAGCTTATTCCTTTGATTAACCAGCCCTATTTGTTCCCAGATCTTAGCAGACTGTATATTAAAATCCACGCTGTTCAAACAAACCTGATTTGCCAGGCAATAAAGCTCAGGCTCTTATTTCCCTGTTATTCAGGTGGTTTGTTACCTGAGGTTTTTTTCAGTAATGACTTAATATATATCATTATTTTCTTTCTTATTTGGTATCAAGAAAATATGAATTCAGTAGCTCATGTACATAGGGTTAGTGTGTCTATGCCTTCAGGTGAGTTCAATATAAAACCAAATCTTGGATAAAGTACATTGAGACTGTCTACAGAGAACCCAGGCAAATACAACCCTTGCCTATGGCAGGCATCATCCCATGCTCCAATTCTTCAAAAGCACGATAGGCTCTTAAAACATTTGAACATCTTCGAGTCTTAAGCTAAATATTTTAGGTAGAAAAACTCCCTATTTTTCACTTGGCTGGGAAAATCCTGTTTCTGTTGCAGTTGTGTTTTTTGTACCCTCTGGGACTCAAACTGAGGATTTAGCACAAAAAGAAATCTAAATCAGCACTGAGGTATTTGTATAAAACACAGGTTTTGGAAGTGTTGAGCAATAAAGGGGCCCTGCTGTCTGCTATGGGACTATTCATATGTATGGCACTATTCATATTAAAACATGTGTCTAAATGCTTTGTCAAGGTAGAGCCTAAATCTGAATACTTCTTTTGATAAACAGATATGGCCTTCCAATTGGGATTCAAATGATGAAGGAACAAAAGATGTCTGAGGGCAATTCCCAGGTCGTTTCCTGCAAAAAGCTGCATGTCCTTGTTGGTTTGCTATTCATTTTCAGAAGAGGCTGAGAGTCCTCTGATCCTGATGCATGACAGTCTTTGGGAGCTTAAAGCTAAAAAGGAAAGCCTTGCTTGGTTGTATCTGTGTAAGTGGGAGCAGAGTATTTTGACACATGATTACTGAGCCCACTAATTTGAATTTCTATTTGTATCTTGAGTTTTCTTTGTGGTAACTCAAATCCTAATGTCTTCTAGGCAGTCTGCAGGCCACTCGGGCTTTGATGGTGGCTGCAATACTCCTGGGCCTTGTTGCTGTATTTGTTGCTGTGACTGGCATGAAATGCATGAAGTGCATGGAAGATGACCAGGTGAAGAAGATGCGGATGGCTGTCTTCGGTGGGGTGATCTTCATCATTGCAGGTTGGTAACATACAGATGCATTCAGTATTAAATGTGTCATTTCCTTAACGGCATTTATCCTGCATAGGATGTGAAAGGATGGGGGAGGGCTTGCTGTCATTGCTCCAAGACAATTTTGGTCTGGGAATTCCTTAGCAGGCTTTGGTACAGTAGTTGCTGGCTATCTGAGGCACCAAATGGGTCTCTTGGCACTAGCATTATACTTTCTATATGGACTGTATGACTTCCATCTTTTAGCAGAGCTGAGTTTGACCTGTACACCCTGCTTCAGTGGAAGGCTGTCAGCGGTCCTGCTCTTGGTGCAATGTAACTGTGGATGACCTCAAATCCTTTCTTAATTTCTCTCCCAACCAGCACTAACTAACAGCTTAGGACTTCCCAGGGTAGCAGCAGCTCAGCATCACTCCAGATGCTAGTTCTGCTACACACTGACTTTTGCAGTGATTTTGTTGATTGTTTTTTTCTTAAGTCATGACACTGTTTCCTTCATATGCAGGTTTGGCAGCACTGGTGGCCACGTCGTGGTATGGCAACAGAGTGGCTCGGGCCTTTTATGACCCCTTCACCCCTGTCAATACCAGGTACTGACCCATTTGATATAATACCGTGGTATAGCATGACAAATGCACCCAGGGCTTAGTTTTGAGTGGCAGTGGCTCAAAACTAAGAAGGGAATTTCCTGAGCTATCTGGGTTGGCTTCAAACTGTGCAGAAAAAGCATTAGGACCATATCTCATCATCCACTTTAAGTCCTGGCTTTGTTTTAAGGCAGCATCACTGCCAGAGACCTAACTGCTGTGACTTCTGTGGTTTTCCTCCACTAATGCTTAAGGCCTGGTTTGCACAGAGCTTGGTGCTGCTGCAGCTGTGCGGGGTGAGCTGACAGACTGGACTAAGCCAATGTACAAAGCTCTGGGCTTTGAGGGTCAGCTGAGTCTCAGGCTGCTCCAAACTGCTGCCTTGCAGAAAGCCACTTCCATCCCAGTTTCAGCTCCCTTCTGCTTTGTGTGGACATGCTAACACTGTAACTGTGTTACTTGTAGTATTCACTTTCTTCCTTCTTTCTTCCCCAGATTTGAGTTTGGATCAGCTCTCTTCATAGGCTGGGCAGCTGCTTCTCTGGCCATGCTGGGGGGATCCTTCCTCTGCTGCTCCTGTCCACGGAGAGAAACTTCGTATCCCCCCACCCGAGGCTATCCAAAAAATGCCCCCTCCACAGGGAAGGATTATGTATAATGAAACAAAGAAGAGGAGCCACCAGCACTGGTAGTGAAAGCATTTTGGAGAGGACACTACAATGCCATTGTCCTGAGCAGAGTTCAGGCTCTAGGTTCTGCCTTCCTCTTCTCCTCAAAAATGTGTATATTTTTGTAATCCTCTTTGCTACTGGACATAACTTCTCTTTTCTCTCCCAGCCCGTGGAGGAAGGCTAGCCTAGGTTCATAGGTATTGCCACTGGAAAGATGAAACCTCCAAGCTTGGGTTAAGTTTAGTATTTGGGAGTAAAAGGGAAAAATGATACTTTTTTTAGACGGATGTTGGTGCTTTTTTAGTTGTTTTTTAAAAAAAATAGAAGGTAACAATTCAGTCCCATATCCCATTAAGTTAGAGCCCAGTGTGGTGTGTGTAGAAATTAAAGGCACATATATACAAAGTGATGAAACCAATAGCTTAAGGGGAAACATAATTTTAGGGAAAAGGCTTTACATGAGGAATGTTTGAAGAGATCTAAAGTGCTCTTGTACTGTTTTATTGGCATTGTCTTCAGCACCCTCCTTTTCTGTGCAGATTGGCATGACAAAGGGTCAGACAATTAAATTGCTGTGACTTAACAAACTGAAACCTGTCCATGCACATGCTGTTGGCCAACAGAAGATGCAGTATAAGGTGGCTTGGCTTACTGTAAGTTGGTTGTGCCTGAGGTTAGCAGACTCCCAAAGCAGCTGCAGGTTTCCCTGGTGCTGGGGAAGTGCTAAAGAAAAACCTTTGCCTTCTGTTTTCACTGGGTGTCTCTGGTGGGGCTGTTGCTGCTGTTCCTTAGACAGAGTGCTGCCAGTGATTGTTTCTGTGTTCCCACCCTAGTACCTAACTGAGCTTGAAGCTTTATCCCCTCATGTGTGTTACAGGCCACCTTTTAACAAACACTCTCCTTTTTCCTTGAGTCTTTCTCTTTGGGCTTAGTTACTGATGTCCGTTTGCCTTATGCAGCTAAATGTGTTAAACCAAACAATGCACTGCTACTCCCTGATGTTTCCCCAAGGATACCTCACATGCTGCTGTTTGACCCTGTCTTTTCTTGTAAACACTTCCAGTGATGATATGAAGGCAAATTCCAAGTAAACTGACCCAAAGGTTATGGCATTTTCTTTTAATCCATGTTCACCAAAGAGAAAGAAACTAGCATTTTAAAGAAAAAGCCATCCTCTCCTATTAAGTTGTATCTAAAAACAATAATGCAGCTCAGCGAAAGTTCCCACACCTTCCTCTGAAACACCCAGTCAGTCACTTGGTGTTTGACTAACACTGGCTGAGGCTGGCTGGAGTCAAGTCTCAGATTCCTAGAAGGATGATACCAGTTCTCCAAAGCTCAACCTTGCTTTTTCTACAGAAGGAAACCGGTTGCTTGTGACCAGGCTTGATAACTGTATATGTTCAGAGGCATTAGATTTCTTGATTTCCTTCTATAGACAGGGAGAGCCTCTGGGGCTGAGCTGTGTACAGCCATGGTGTTGGTGGTTTATATAAGCCTTGTGCCTCTGTTTGACCTGACTCTGCAACATAAATCACAGTTACTAAAAGAAACCAACGAGAGCATTTGCTTCAGGCTTGAGCTGAAGTACTTGGAGCTGGGTCATGTGGCTTCCACTTCTCCATGGGGAATTGCCTGTGCACAGCAGCTGCCTCGTGAGACCTTGTCTTAGGAGGTGGCAGCTCAGGTCACATTAAAGAGCTGCTGAAGTCTGTGCTTTTGTATTTGCATTAACCCTGAGCCAGGGAGCAGATGCTTGTATTTGGGAACTTGTATAAAGTGTTTAAACAATTTCAATAAATGGACTTTTTTAAGGAAAATCAGGTTAAGTTTCTTCATTTTTTTTGGTTTTGATCATAATTTGGACATTGTGCATGGGAGGAAGGAGGGGGGCTTGAGCTTTTGGAAGCCTGCCTGCCAGTATGGAGCTTGTTCAGCTGTGTGTATCTACAGCAGACAGGTGGGGACAGATCTTCTGCAGTGAGTCAGGCAGTTGTGGCCTCTGGCAGAAACTCACCCAGTAATCTGCTACGATTGCAGCCCAGGAACCAGAAGGTCTGCTTCTCGGCAAGGCAGGCTGCACCCTGGGTGGAGCAGGAAGGGGCAGAGAGAAGGCAGATGGCTCCCTTGCAGGGGGGTGGGAGCTGCAGGAATGGGGAAGGGATGGGGTGTGGAGCCAGGGTGCTCCTGGGAGAGATGCTCTGTGTTTCAGTAGTGCTTTGCTCTGTGGCTTTATCCAGGGTAGGGTATGTACAAGCTCTGGCTATCGGCATGAGATGAGATGCCTTGCTACCACAGTAGGAAGAGATCTGCTGATCTATGTGTGTCTCTTAAAAACTGTGTGCAGTTGTTTGACATTTCTGGGTTAACAGGATCATGAAGAGATGGGCCCTGGGAGGATCCACCTCACTTTAAAGTCCCTTTGAGAGGGAATTGTGCTTCTCCCAGCTGTGACAATGAGTGTAACCAGTCAGGTGTACATTTTTTTGCAGGCCAGGCAGAGAATGGTTTCAGCTGGGAATGGTCTCTTCTAACCTGCACAGATGCCTCTGCAGGGTACCAAGGCTCTATACCCCTTGCTTCTGCCTGGCCTGGAAACCTTTTTCTATTCACCCGGGCTCTTGTGTTCATCCCTTTCATATTTTCAAGTACATCTGACGAGAAGCAAACTTGTATTTAAAACATTTTATTAAGCTCAGTCAAGGAGCTGCCTCCTCTATTCCCTCTCTCTCCAAGGGCTGTTTGCTTTTCTAATTACAAACAAAAGGAATAGAGCTAATTAGGCCTTGTAAAGCTTGCAGAGCAAAACAGCCAGGCATGTGGCTGGCTCAGTGAGCTTGCAGTGCCTGGAGCAGACTGGTTGCCTGGCATAGTTTGGGGTCTATGGTCATTCTTATTCCAATCTGTCAATTAGTCAAGGATTTCCACTGAGATTAATTCTTTTCTTCTCATGTTTTTATGCTCAATCCCTCTCCAAGGACTTTTGCAAGTTCTACTCTGGTTTCCTGGGCAGAAGAACAGTGAAGGAAAGCAATCCTACCTGTAAAATGGTTAGTAGGAGTACTCAGCTGCTGGCAAAAATAGGCCACTGTGGGAGATGCAGATCTGTGTGTGACTGGCACATGGGAAGGAGCCAGAGGCTACCTTGCTTGTTTGCTGTACTTTTAATTTGACAAAATTCATAGCCAAGCTTTCATTTGGGTAGTGCTTGTGGATTGCTAGCAGGCAGGCTGGAAAGCCAAGGGTGAAGTTTGGGGGTAAACAATCTCATGGCTCATGATCCTAATTCCTGTCTGGTGGTGACAAGCAGCGTTATCTCTTGGAGGGCTGATGTCTCAAGAAGCGACCCTGACCCTGCTTGGGAGGGAGCTTTCCAATCCTTTCCCCCTGCCTTTCTTGCATGATCATGCAATTCCACTTGGCTGTAGCTTGCATAGAAAAGGAGTAACATGGGTTGAAAGTTGGGGGAGAGTTTCCCACTGGATTTCAATCCTTGCATGTGACTGA